TAAATCCACTACAACCGAAGAACAAATCAAGATTACCTAACCCAGAAATTCAAGTTATAAAAAGGTTAATTGCACAGAACAAAAACTAACGCCATATTTATTTATTATGCAGCACCAACGGAGATATTATATAGGAGATAAAACCTCCAATCCAAGTTATTAAGATAGGATTAACCACAAGATTATAATTATACCTAATGATATCGAACAAACAGGAAGAAATACAAACAAATAATAGAGATAACCAAGTTTTTATGCCAATAAAGAAATAATTGGTATAATCAACTATTATACAAGAATTAACAAACAATTATTTAAATGGCAATACTATATGGAGCTACTACTCTAGAGATCAGTTAATGATATATTCAAATTCAAGAGAACTAAGAAGAGCAAATATGGATGAAGTCCAGCGATGGATCCTATCATTATTAAAGCCAGACGAACGACCTACAACAAGAGCTTTAAAACATGATTTATTTCAAAAATTAACCAGATATTGTAAATTAATTGGGCACAAATATTCTGACCATATATGTTCAAAATGTAACGGAGAAGATAATATAATTCCAGATATTCAACTGGAATGATACAACGAAGAAGAAGACAAAGAGATAAAACTAAGAAAATGACATTCAACAGATAAAGCCAAGAAATAAAGAAAAGAAGATAGATACAAGATAGATGGCCGACAAGATAAAGCAAATAGTATAAAGATGTAAATTATTTGCTTAAAAGTCATAAAGTGTACAGTATAAAGTAAATAGTAGATGCATAGTCATAAAGTAAATAGTAGAGACGCATTATTAGAGCTTCTAGAATAGTAAACTTGCATTGTCTATATATTCATTCATTTGTAAACATTGTAAGGCAGGCAAAGCCTAATATAAACTAAATAAGCTTTCATAAAAACACTCTCAAATACTTAAGATATTAATACTTAACAGATAATGGAACAACTTTCAGATATCATGGATAAGCAAGAGGCAAAGGTATATTGTTCAATAAATATGCAGAACTAATTTCATATATCCTAAATATCATATATATGATTGAATAAGTTTATGTTAGTTATTATGTATTAGAATTATTTGAATCATGATTTCTAGTTTATTAGCACACTGGAAACAAAGAGAAAACTTCTATATTATGCCATCCTAATGTTGAAACCGGTAAGGTGAGGAAAGCCGTGATAGGGGTAAACAAAGTTGAGGCGCTGATAAGAAGGAAGTATCTGCGATGCTAGTAGTGACAGGAAAACATGGTAAATAGATAATCTAGTTTCATAATGATCTAATTTGATCTTAATCAGTTGTGAATATGATAGGAAGGAATAATTGAAAACAACAAACTTGCATAACAAAGAACATGAATACATATATACATGATGAAATGATAAAAAGCTATAAAACTTTAATATTATATATACTTAAAGGTATAAAAATAATTGAATTAAGAAGAATCATATGGGAGAAAATATTTAATGACGATGAATCAGAA